GCATTGCACGTTTTTAAAAATTTGTCGATATATGTACAGATTACATTACTTTAAATGCATGTTGTTATAATTCGTAATAAAAAGGTGGGTAGTTTAAGTCAAAAACTGTTACAGGCTAACCACAATCAGCACAATAATTATGTTGATATCAATTTTTCTCATAGAAATGATTGAAAGGGTACAAATTATAATTAGCTGATTATTTTACAACAATGAATAAAAATTTTTAGAGTTTGAAGATATTTAACGATGATAAATAAGATATTAAATATAATTAATTATGTTGAGGCTAGTTGAGTCAATGGACTTGTGCACCTTTACTCTGTAACTAACTGTGAGATTTCTTCGTAACCCCTCTCTACGCCTTGACTGGATTATTGTTTTTCACTTCATCAGATTAAGCAATAACTGACACCAGATGTACATACCCCACCGAGGAGCCCATAACCATTCTAAGATTCGATAATGCAGTGTTAGTAAGCCTGTCAGTTTTCGTAAATAGTTTTAGGGCTCTGTTCTTTATATATATTTTGGTCGAATTAATCTTGAAGTCCCTAAGGATGTCATTCATCCTAATGTACCATGACACCTTGAAAAGTCTTCTCAGAGCCTAGCTTTGTGCACTTTCCAACTGGCGTATAGTAGTGTTTTAGGCTTGTTGAACACACCCATGTAGAAGTGACGGTCGAATTATTTGATTATATATCAGCTTCCTGTTCTTAGCATTCAGATTTCCATTTTTGAATAGCTTTTCAGTTGAACATTTGAATGCCATGTGAATCGTTTGTCCACCGTGATGCTTAGATATTGAATGCTATCCTCTCAGTTTATTACCATATCTCCCACTCTTCAATTAATAAAATTTTTATATATATAGATACTTGAACTTTTTAATTATATATATCCAATTAGATACGCGCAAGTTCCTCTTCGTTAGCAATGCATATCAATTAGTTGTTTATTAAAAATCTTGCATCACTAACCGCTAGCAATTTAAATATTCACAATAGTTTGCTTAGCAATATAACAACTGTCAAAAACATCTGATAATTGTTTTGATATTTTTATAAGAAACTTTCACTTTTTGTGGGTTCAAGAATTTAAAGACTTTTACAATTTATATTTTTTAAAATGAATTTAAAATTGAGAAATAAGCAAACGAATATGACAAGTACAGTTGGACAAACGCACATATCACCATGGACTTCAGTGTCATGCTGTTTCGGACTTTCACTCATTTATGTAGCCAGTCTGTACGTTTGGAACAACAAACATAATCGCGATCACCCTACCACCGTTAAAAAAAGATTCTGCAGTGTTTTTGTTGTAATGTTGATAGCACCAGTCTTTGTTTACGCATTTTCATCCAACGAATTATTGGAAGAAGTAAATTTTCTTCAAATATTAGGTATACGTTTGGCTGGATTATGGCAAGCTATTGTCGTGCCTTTTTTACTAACATTGCTCCTATTTTTGGGACCAATCTGTGTTCAAATGCAAAACGAAACTTTGCGTATATTTATTGGTAAGTGTTATTTTATATAAAGTAGTTTTATAGTTTTTTTTTATTTTTATTAGATTTGAACTACTGGAAAAGTAATGTGTCGAACTTAATTTGGTGGCGAAATCATGTAGTTGCGCCATTAAGTGAGGAATTTGTTTATCGTGGCTGTATGATGCCACTAATTTTACAAAGTTTCACACCCATGCAAGCAGTGTTCATAACTCCATTATTTTTTGGTACTGCCCATGTACATCACATTGGAGAGCGTTTAGGACTAGGCATGGAATTAAAAACAGCCATATTAATATCAGGTTAGTGAAATTTGTATAAAATTTAAGTTTTATTAATAATAATATATATATATGTATATATTCTTTTTTTTAAAGTGTTTCAGCTAACATATACAACAGTTTTTGGCTTCTATTCAGCTTATTTATTCGCACGAACAGGACATATCGTTGCGCCATTTCTTGTGCATGCATTCTGTAACCACATGGGTGTACCTGATTTACAAGATTTGTGGCAACAACACGTTTTTAAACGTGTCATATTAATCATTATATATTTGGTTGGATTCTTTGGTTGGTGTATATTACTACCTATAGCGACAGCGCCAGAATTTTATTCAAATTGTTTGTACTGGCCACCAACTCGCAAATAATGACTGCACAAAATGCTTTAAACAATTAATAATTAAAAATAAACTAACTTAAGCAATACATTGTATATTAGATGAACAAAGAAGAAATATATTAATTTGTTAAATATTTAAAAATATGATTTTTATATTAAGCAATCAATTCTTCCTATCACTTTTAAATTAGCAATCTTTAACAGTGTTTCCAAATATGAGAAATTATTAATGGTATTATATGCAAAGCTAGATAATGTTAAGAGAGATTCTAAGATAATAATAATAGTAAGCAACTATAATTAGAACTTTTGCTAGTTTAATGGTTTCAAAAGAAACTAAATAAGCAGATCCTTGCTATCTACAATAACAACATGCTTAAATATACATAACACACACCTACTTCTATAGTTCCTGTTGTGTGTGGTGAGCGACGTTTTGTCGTCGTAATTGAAGAGTGGCTCGGAAACATAAAACCAGTCGTTTCTTAAACCCTTCTTCTCACTTAATTACATCCTTAACCTTTTATAGCGTTTATAATTGCTACCGTTTTCTGCTATATAGATATTCCGCGAGTTACAACAACAAAGGTAAAATAAAATATTGACGACATCCTGTATATCTTTTGTTATCATTTGACACCGGAAGAATATAGAGTGATGGGAATATTTGTAACTGTCTAATAATTAAAAAAGCAATTTAAAACAGTCGATGTTAAAGTTAGTATCCTAAATATTTGAGAACGCTTCTTTCTTAAAATAAACTATAAGGATTCGTATGAAATCCACTTAAAAGCTTTATATATACAATAAATGTAGAATTAATATACACAATATACAATTTAGTAAAAAGTATACAAGCTATGTACTTTATTTATTTTTTTCGCAGAGTTCAAAGATCAATTTATATCTTAAAAAGATTCAACCCTTAAGCGAGCTTTCTAGCTCATTGTTTGCTTGCAATTCTTTTACAATATCCAAGCCACCAATTAGTTCACCCTTAACATAAACTTGTGGATATGTAGGCCAATCGGAGTATGTTTTTAAGCCTTGACGTACTTCTTCATCGGTCAGAATATCGAAAGTTTCATATGGAATACTAAAATCAATATAAATATTACATAATTTATACTATTAACGTTTTATTATTTAATCGCTTACCCGACTTTATTTACTATTTCAATTAATGTTCTCGAAAAACCACAACGTGGTGCATTTCGATCACCTTTCATGAAGATCATTACTGGCGCATGATTTATTAATGATTTTAAACGTTCCTCTAACGTTTCACCTGAATTACTACTATTATTTGCTCCAAGCTTTTTACATTTCGTTGTCAAAGCTGCTATATCTACACCATCCACACGGTCTACTGCTGTTCCCGCTTTGAAGAATATAATAGTCGGCACAGCATCAATCTAACAAAACAAAGACGTTATCATCAATATGAATTCGTGATTAGCGCAAGGATTTACTTGATGCTTCAATGATATTTCAGCATATTTTTCTGCATTTAGACTGTAGAATTGTAGCTGCTTTAAAATTTTGGCTAATTCCTCTAGCACTTCAGATACTTGTTTACATTGTTCGGCCCAGTCGGCAGAGAAGAGCACAACTGAAACTTTGTCCTCGCTGCAATCAACAATATTATTAATTACTCTTCACTGATACATTGTGACTTACTTTATTGCATTATTGTATTCTTCAGCAGTTTTAATATTTATTACAGACATATCCAATTAATTTATCACTATAATTTAGATAGAAAAACTAAAAATTTTGTGATTAATGTTTTGTGGTTAGTTGTGAAAGTGAAGGTGAAAAGTATTGCACACTCTTAAGAGAAATATAAACTATTGTGAATTTTACTTTATTTGAGAAAAGTGTTACTTTTTATAAAACACAATTTTTCCCTTTTATTTAACAATTCGACAAAAAAAACTAATAAAAAATATTTTTATATATGTATTAAATTTTAAATATTTAAATATTTGAGTATATTTGATTTTTTTATTTAAATAGATTTTATTTATATAGATAGAAAGAAATAGAATAATAAAGGCACTCGGACTTTTTAAAATATTTTGAAATTCTAATTGATTGGGACAACTTTTGACTCTAAGAATCATTAGGTTTACGCGGTGTACAGTTAGTCAAATTATCTCAACCTAACCTTTGTCATAGCCAGTTCATATCAATAAATGGTTTTAAAAAGCGCAATTATGTCGCTACATTTTTGATCATATACGTTTTCATACGTGCTGCATGTTTCACGCTTGCTATAGGTACGTTATTGCTTATCTAGGGTTCCACATTGCATAGGATGTTTTCGGTTGAGGAGTTTCGCCGAAGTTGCCAAGTAGATTTATGCACATTACTACAATTATCTATTAGTAAAAGTAACCTTAATGTTAATGTGTATAGAACAATATAAAATAATTCCCCTTGTTGAGATATATTCGTAAACATAAGAATTTTGAATATCTATTGTGAATGTTGAAAAAAATACCAAAACATTTCCGCACGTAAAGTAAATACTCATGTATCCAGTATCAATAAACACACGATGAGGTAGAAATTGAGGTAATCCCATTTAATTTTTTCTTATTAAATATTAAACTAATTTTAAATAAGTTTTCTAGATAATGTCAAAACCATCAATATTAATAATAGAACCGTTTTTCGGTGGCAGCCATAAACAATTAATAGAAACGCTGACAGAATGTAATATAAATAGTTTTCTTACAACAAAGTTTTTTAATAAAATGTATTTTCTCAGGTTTAAGTGTGCCGGAATATGACCTTTTCACACTGCCGGCAAAGAAATGGCATTGGCGTGCACGCACAAGTGCATTATACTTTTCTCAAATAATACCAACAGATCACATGTACAAAGTTCTTTTTACTAGTTCTGTAATAAATTTAGCTGAGCTAATAGGCACACGACCCGATTTAGGCGATTGCAGAAAACTTGTTTATTTTCATGAAAATCAATTGGTCTATCCAGTCCGTGACGTAAAGGAACGTGATGTACAATATGGTTTAAATCAGATACTTACTTGGTAAGCTGGCGTTGATACTCGTATAACGTCCGTTAAATATTAAATATTATATAGGAAGATTAAATATTCATATTATTATCTCTATTACAGTCTCGCTGCCGATTGTTGCATTTTTAATTCTAATTTTAATCGCACTTCATTTCTTGATAACATACAATCATTTTTAAGCATACAACCTGACTTGAAATTAAAAAACTTACGTGATAAGATTGAGAAGAAATGCGAAGTTATATACTATCCCATAAAATTTCATTCATTTCCTAATAAGCGTTTCATGATTGGAGGTAAAATGACTTTGCCTACGATGGAAAATGATAAAGACTGTTTACATATTATATGGCCACATCGTTGGGAGCATGATAAAAATCCAAAATTACTAGTTGAAGTGTTATTGGAATTAAATAAACGTAAAGTGGAGTTTAAGGTGACGATTTGTGGAGAAACATATAACGCGATGCCAGAAGCATTTGAGGGAATACAAGAAAAGTTGGGCACAAAATTGGTTAACTTTGGTTATCTGTCAAAAGAAAACTATGTTAAGGCACTAATGGCGGGTGATGTAGTTGTATCAACAGCTGGACATGAATTTTATGGTGTTGCTATGTAAGATTTGTGTACTAATCTTAAAAAAATTATAATAAAATTTTTATTTTTATTTTTTTTTAGGTTGGAAGCTACTTATTGCGGTTGTATGCCTATTGCACCTAACAAGTTGGTATATCCTGAAATATATCCTAGTGAAAATCTTTACAATACATCTAATCAACTTATTAAAATGTTATATAATTGGTGTCGGAATCCCGATGTGTTTCGTAGGCAACGTGATAAGTTTTTTGAATATTTTACTTTTGATATATATTCCGCACAACGTTTAGTACCCAAATATCTAGAGAAGTTACGCATATAGGCGTATCCAATGACTATCCAAACATTTCTGTTTTAAGTACAAGTGTCCGTTAAAAACGAATTTATATATAATAACAAAATATTTGGTAAATTATTAATATTTATTGGTTGCAACTTGAGTATGTAACATAAAATACAGTTAGTTGGCATTATATAGATATATTTACAAACCCTAATGTTATTTGATATACCATAGTTTTGAACTCGGAAATAGCATGATTTTAAACATAATTAAAAAAAATAGCTGCAGGGCAGCAGTCAGACAAAACAATCCCATATTTGTTATTTTTATTTGTTTTTGTATAGTTTAAACAAATTTTTTGTTTTTATTTTCAAATACATAATTAATTATATCACTGGTATTTCCATTCTCAAGTAACGAGATCGGCGACGGAGTTGTTTAGTAACAGTGCGAAGCGGCAGGAATGAATACATCGTTTGAATGTATGTATTTTGTTGTTGTCGCTATGTTACTGTGTTACCCCGGTGGTTACTTGAGTTTGTGAATACCACTTTTGTTGCTAATGTATAATATTGAACCATTAGGTGAGGTCCTCTTAAAAATGTGACATTTAGCAAGTGTATCGCTCCTATTATTCTAATCAATTGTTATTGGATCCATTCGGCGAATATGAATAACAATTAGTTCAAATTAGTTGATGATATTCGAGAATTCCATCAATTTGAATAAAAGCCATATTACATTGAACCTGTAATAAGTTATAGTTAGTTAGTTAGTTGTGAGGGAGAGAGGAACGAGTTCTCCTCAATTCGCTAAAAAAGCAGTTTTAAATTCACAAAACCTCGTAATAGTGGGTAGTGGAGAGAAGGTCAAGCTAGATCCAACCAGAGGCAGTGAAGAAGAGGGTCTCCAAAAACTCAAGCCTAGTTCATATTTGGACATAGACAGTAATAAGTTATAGTTTATAAAAATTTTTTTTTTATTAAAATGGTAAATTGTTATACTGTTTTGAATAGACATAATACTATGTTGTTAGAATAAATAAGACCATACTAGTTCTGACTTACTGATACAAATGTTATTCAACTGTGTTTCGTCCAATCATAATTAAACAATTATTCTAAATTAAAATTTTTCTTACTAAGTTTGACTTAGAATAGTGACTTTAAGATTCGCATATGGCTCGGTTATTGTCCGCTTATTTTATAAATTGCTTCATATGTTTTGATTGCTTGATTTTAGTGACGGTAGAGCTTCCTTTTTTATATTTATATTATAAAATCAAATAATATTTTCCAAATATTAAATATACGAACTCAATCCTGTTTGGGCATTCCATTTCGAAAAGCTTGAAACCAATTTTATCCTTAATGAAGCATAAGATTCTTCCTAAAAAACGATCCCTGCAAGGCATGGTTTGTCGGTTTCAATCGCAGTTCAGCAGACATACCTTCGCTGTCCACAGTTATTTTTTGCCATTTTACTACGACATTCCCCGCCAGAAACCTTAAGACATAAAATGAGGACAAAAAATTATTCTTTCCGTTGAATTTAGGTAATTTACCAAGGTTTTTTGTCCTTATCGATGAACAGTCTGATTAACCGTTAAAAACGTGCTTCCCTAAAAACCTGTTTTTTTAAGTTTTAGTGTTTTTTTTTTTTTATTTAAGGTAAGGATCGCAAACTAAATAGTATTATTTGTCTATTGTTGGTCTAAGTATTTATGAGTTTTATATCGCTATAATAAAATTGACAGTTCTTTTTACCCTGTCCTACTATGGGCCATGTTATGTAGAGTGTTATGGGCTAGTTATGAGCAAAATTGTTGTTGTTTTCAATGCAAATTAAAAAATTGAGAGTGTGAGAAAAATAATATGTCGGTTCTCAAATTTGGTCATGGGTTTCAAGGCTATTTGTGTCTCGTCACTTAGGCAAAGCAGTGTTATTTAGTAATATAGGTCAACAATTGTGTCTTTAAGAAGCAAATTATAAGAATTTCTGTAAAACTCTGCATAGTATGCATTTTCGTCAAAACTCAAAAGAGACAATTTTGACGAGCCCATGACACTTTACATAACATGGCTCTATCTATTTTAATTATATGAAGTTGTCAATATCTCAGCTCTGATAAAATTGAATGAAAAAAATATGAAATAATAATCATTTTAACTATTTCTTTTTCAATGTTCTTCGAAGTGTCTTGGTACATCCGCACAAACGACATGCTAAGAGACCGTAGAATAGACCCGATCAAAAAATACATAAAGGATAAAGCCCTGAAGTTATATGCGAAAACTGACAGGCTATCCTACTTAGCACTATCTAATCTTAGAGTAATTACTCTCCGCACGGGGAGGTACGCAGACCTTAGATTAATCACTGAATAATCATGAAGCTCTATAACTGTTAACTGAAATTGCTTTAAATCGTATATATACATTCAATATACACTGAAATTTGAACCGTTACAATCTAAAAAAAAAACTATACTACTCAGTTTACCTAGATATGGAATTATAACATAGAATACGACAGATTATGACAGTATGACATATAGTATAAGGGGTGGTAGCCGATTATGGGATTCCACAACCTATATAAGATTGCCCTATTTCGGATTTTAGACTTTAAATTAGTTTTCAAAATGCCCGCTAATGAGTCTTTATATAGAAGCGTATATACGTCTTATATAAACGATCAATAGGATAATATTCTTTACATACTTAAGTTGCAAATAAAGTACATATTGCTGATAAACAATAAAAATGATTTCAAATTGTAGTTAATTCCTTCCTAGTAAATGTTTTGTTATATTATATATATAATCCATGTTTAATATAATTAAATAATATTGTTTAGTTAAAATATATAATATATTAAGAAAAGAGTTTAGGCAAAAGTTAACAAAACATACATATGTATATGTGACCAATGTTAAATAAAAAATTCTACATTTAGGCAAACTTTTTGATATATAAAACTAAGAATAAGCTGAATATATACTATACTTTGCCATATACGGATAAAAATACATAAAAACTGTTGATTTACGTACACACATCCACACATTTTTATAAAAAAAAATCTCAACTTCTGTTTAAAATAGGTTTCTTGTTAATTTATTAAACCCGTGTAATCCAATATATAGAACATATGTTTATAAGATATATATGTATATGTATGTATGCTAGTGCAATAATGTTATAAATATAAAAATGTGTTTTTAAAAAAGTGCGTTTTACATTTCTGGCTTGTAAATTTCAATAGAAAAAAATTTTACTCCATGATCTTATCATCATCGACATCGATTTTTTCAGGCTCTTTTTCTTCTTCAATAATAGAGTCATTGGAAACGATTCCAAAATGAACATCTTCGCTTCCCTCGTTCGGTTTTTCAACGTTAACATCTTGATTTTCCCCAGAGCTTATAGTGGAAAAGAGTAGTTCTTCCTTAAATTCTGAACGTCGTATCATATGTACCATTTTGGGCATCTTATTTGGCGGTGATCCAGCCACATACTTGAAATTAAAGTATTAGATAATATTAAAAACTATAGTATATAGTGGAAAACTCTCTTAATGAATTGGAGAGACAAATTTTTTTTACAAATTATTGGAACAACATAAACCGCTACTGGTCGAACAAAAAGATAGTTCTCAAAAGAGTTTTTACTATATTCACAAGTTATTCTAATTTGTATACTCGTACAAAGAAAAAAAAACAAACCTTTGATGCAATTAGCTCAAAAATTTGTTTTGAACTAAAGTCATTTTCAGTTGACGAATCCGACGAATCTGAAGAGTCACTATCAATATGCATATCTCTCAGAGCGTTCAATGTTGACTCAAAACAGGGTAGTTGCAATAACTGTGGGGCACGTTCCATGGCGGATCGTTTCAGTTGTTTAACGCGCTGATAGTGTTGCATCAGTTTATTAACTTTTTCCTCCTGTTGGCGTTGATAATGTGAAGGTGGTGTAGTATCAGCTATACCGAAAAATATTGCCTTAAGACGGTCGGAAAATGCACGATCGATATATTCGAATTCGCTTGGTGTAGTAGCACAATAGCTGCGCTTGGTAGAACTATTTAGAGGTACACAATTATTTATAATTCTGTAATATTATATAAGATTATGAAGTCACTAACGTAATAGTTGTTTGAACACCAGTTGGGCTGGATGCAGTTGTAGTTGTTGGTTGCTCTTCACTCTGGACATTCTCAGCCTTAGCAACTGGTGAATTAGTGAGCTTGTCATAGCAAACGAAGCAAACAGGTGGAGGATTGCTACTCAAGCAATTAACACAAAAATAATGTTTGCAATAGGAGCAATTAAACTAGAGGTATAATTATTTTAAAAAAATTTTATATAAAGAATTTAAATAATTTAATTTAAATTAGTATGTTAATATTATGTTATTAATTTAATATTTAATTATACTCACGACTTTGCAAAAGATGCCAAATTTCTTGCTGCAGATATAACAATACATATTTATTTTTTTCTTTAAGGATTTTCACAAGCACAATTTAAACTTTAAAAAAATTTCTAAGCCAAGCACTCAATCCCAACTTCAAAATCAAACTGATTAACTTCCAACTACGCACCTCAAGCGAACGACCATCTTGCGCGCCGTACTATTTTCGGGGTGTTAGCGCAACAGCAGTTATGCATGGAGTTTTTAGGTTGACCATGTGGAAGTTTGCAAATTAAATTCATTTAATTTGCATTACTTGAACGAAATATATTTGAAAGTAATGACTTCAGTGAGCTTTATACATCTATAATAAATAATGATTATATTTTTAGTTTTTTAAGTTGATGTACTTCAAAGATATAGATGCTTTTCGGTTAACAGATATTAATAGTCCTCATTCGTCCTTCGTAAAAGTGCCTGTACACAATCCATTAAATTATAATAGAATCTATGTTATCCCGTTTTTGATTAGTAAATCTAGGGTAATATTTTTAATCAAGATTCATTTTTAATGCAATGTTTATTTTCAATTAATAAATCTCGATAGTCCTTATTCGTCCTTCCTAAAAGTGCCTGTTCACAATCCATTAAATTACAATAGAATCTGTGTTATCACGTTTTCGATTAGTAAATCTGGGTTAATTTTTTAATTAAGATTAACTTTTAGTGCAATTTTTCTTTTCGATTGGCATAATGTATAACACTTGAGATTAATTTACAATACTCTAGATATTTTGCCAGAGTAGCAAGATTACCCTGAAATTAACAACTGCTTAATATTAGTTGACAAATAAAGTGTGATTCGAATCGACATATGTATTTATAATATATACCTATACATATGTATGTATGTTTGCGTGTATACCTGAGTTGGTGACTCTATTGTATCTGTGGACAGAGCCCTGAAGCTATAAGCGAAACCCGACAGGCTTCCCTACTTAGCACTATCTAATCTCAGAGTAATCACTAACCGCACAGGGCGGTACGCAAATGTTAGATCAGTGATTGAATAATCACGAAACTTATGAGGAATACACAAATTAGTATGTAAGATGGATGGTACTCTGCAGAAACCCCCAACTATCAAAGAGTAAAATTGCCCAGATGTACTAACTCGGAAAAGGCTCAACATAATAATACTAAGAATAACAGAATACGAGTGCTTTATAAATAAATGCCTACTAACGTAACTGCAAAAATGTAAGATGTACTCTAAAAACGTTCGTTTGGGCAATAATATTTGACGGATCGGGAATAACTCCAGATTGAATTTAGATTTTCGAATCGAAAACGACATTATATTTATATTACATTAATGTAAACTTAAGAGTATAACAATTTCTGTTAAATTTAATTTCTGTTATAATTCTACTGTAATTGTACTGTAATTTACTGCTATATGATTTTCTATTAACTAACATGAGCTTCTGTTAACTTATATGAATTATTGTTAAATTCACTAATCTATGTTAATTTAAGCATCTATTTTTGTTAGCTTATGTGAACTTCTGTTAACTGAAATAAATTATCGTTAACTTAACTTATTTCTGTTAAATTTTGTATATACAGTCAGCGACAAAACTCTACATACACCCCCCATTTTTGCTAGCTCGTAAATCCAAGGACATAATAGAAAAAAGTAATGATGCAGTTTTGTTTAGAACTGTTTTTTAATAATAATAAACAAAAGAAAATCCATTCATCAATATAAATTAACAAAGTTATTTGAAAAAAAGCTAAAAAAATCATTGACAAAAGTCTACATACACTTCATTGATTTTTAGATATAGTCGACAGAAATATAAATGTTAAACGGAAAAGTACCGTTTTTCATATTTCATGCTTGTGGCATGAGTCATACATTTATATAATGCACTTAGTTGTGCTTTGAGAGTGGTATTTAATTGACACGATGGGTCCACGAAAAGAATTTCAAGTGATATGCGAAATCTGGTTATTAAGCATAGAAATGAAAAAACACCTTATGGTAAAAATATCAAAATTAGTAAATTTGACTCGATCAACAGTTCAGACGATAATAAGAAATTATAAAAATACTAGTTCTTCTGAAAATAAACCTCGCAGTGGCCGCCCAAGGATACTCATACGTAGGGATGTCAGCTTGGTTTTAAAAGAAGTTAACAAAAATCCGAAAGTAAGTGCCTTAAATTTAGTCGAACACATTGCTAGTGCAACTAGGAAGCATGCTAATCTACGTCAAAGCTATTTTTCCTACTTCAGTTGCAGCTACGGCTCCCCAAAGCATAGCACTGCCACCACCATGCTTTACAGTTGGCATTATATGCTTCGGATTCAGTGCTGTTTTCGCTTTCCTTCAAACTTTAGCTCTCCAATCGCGTTCAAATATATTGAATTTCGATTCATCTGTAAATAAAACCTGCTTCCAGAAATCAAAATCCTTTTCTTTATATTGTTTGGCAAACTCTAAGCACAGCTTTCGGTTTTTTTCAGAAATTAAAGGTTCTTTGCGTGGTATTCTATCATGAAAACCGTGGCTGTTCAACGTTCTTTGTACTATACGTGGATTGACATGCTTTCCAGTTGCATTAGTAATGTGTTCGACTAATTTTAAGGCACTTACTTTCGGATTTTTGTTAACTTCTTTTAAAACCAAGCTGACATCCCTACGTATGAGTATCCTTGGGCGGCCACTGCGAGGTTTATTTTCAGGAGAACCAGTATTTTTATAATTTCTTATTATAGTCTGAACTGTTGATCGAGTCAAATTTACTAATTTTGATATTTTCACCATAAGGTTTTTTTTCATTTCTATGCTTAATAACCAGATTTCGCATATCACTTGAAATTCTTTTCGTGGACCCATCGTGTCAATTAAATACCACTC